TTTTGTGATTGGCTGCAACACTGAATTCTTGCTCTGAACCGTGACAACTCAGAGTAAGTCGTTGTTGGACACTGACCAATCAGAGCAGCAAACCTACGAAATATGTGCCCTCATAATCCAGGGAGATTTTTTTCCCCGAAATCAGGGGGGCCCGAAATGAAACGTCAGCCCTGGGGGGTGTGTTTTCTTTCCAATCAGGGCCTGACTGTGGGCCTTGTTGGAGCTTGCAATGTGGCAGCTAACCCACGAGACTAACGTTATCGCCCAGTCCTCGGTTTTGCGCACCCAACCAACAATCTACCACCCCGTCAAACATGTACATTTTGTTCTCAACCTTTTGTTCTTTAAAAAAAATATACATTATGTAACGACCCGGGTGCAATGTAGCTTTTTCCGATGACAAGACCCCCCCCCTTTTTTTTGTGTAGTTATCATAGCACCCTAGGGTGGTATGTCCGGGGTAATACGGTAGATCGAGGGCTGTCGGCAGCCTCGTTTGCGATGCGTGGGTTAGCAGCTCCTTGAGTTTGACGCGATTTCATTCAGGCTACGTAAGGAGGATCAACCCAGGGCTTCTGATCGTCTACTTTCTGCTTGCCTTTCTGGCTACGACTTTTACGAGGCGGCATGCTAGTGAGCTTGTTGGATGCTGAGCTGTTGTGGTCGTAATCTGCTGAAGTAGGCAGATCAACCATTGTCTGTGATGTTTATGACTTTGTGAAGTTGGATCTGTTGCACATGACTGTTGGGAAATTGGTGGTGTTTCAATTTCCCGCCGGGAATTGTGACGGTTTCGCGTCACCACATGACAGGCGGGCGCGCGGGCGATTTGTGTGTACGATTTGCAATTTTGCTAGTGTTTGGGTGACAGGCGATTTGTCAGTTGTCGCAAAGCGGGTGTTGCGACGTGCCCGTTCAACTTTCCGAAGCATCCTCTGTGGTCAGTAATCTGCACCTGTGGTCCCGACAATACTTGGACGACAGGAGAAACCCACATTATTTATGTATGCTACGGTGACAATGTGGACTACACTAAACCAACTACTCTATCCCACTGAAGTCCTGATCCGGGTCAAACTACCGCCCACTATTCTGAATACTTGCCCCCACCCATTGCCCTCCCACTAACCCATGTAGAAACTACACTATACCGTGAATCCCCACATTTCTCAAATAGTGCCCGCAAAAGGTGCCGACTCGCGATAGGACTTACGGGCCTTAGGGCGGTTACGGTACCTCCTCTTCTCCAGGTTTGCGCTGCCACCATACTTGCCCATGCAGCGGTTCTTTGTGTGACCGTGGAGATGGCAAACGCTGCACTTGTACGGATGCACAGCCTTCTCGACGCGTGCGTAGCTCGGCGGGCGGCCGGCAGCCGTGCGCCGAAAGGGTGGAGCATCGCACTGGCCTGGTGCGGCCAGCTTCCTCCCAAGGACGATGCGGTCCACACAGGAACCCCGCACCGTTGAAGAATAAGTCTCCGCCCAGTTCTTCGTGGTGTAGTAGTCGAAGACGAGGGTGCGCGGGTCTAGCTTTCGCTTCAGAGCAAAGGCCACGGCATGGGAGCAAGGAAACTGGTACTGGTCCCAGTTTGAGCAGTCGCAGGTCCTCACTTCGCTGTTGATGTTGACGTTGAAGGACCTCCATTCCTTGGGATCGTCGGTGTCCCTGGTCTGGATTGTTCCTTCCTCAAGATCCCCGCCCAATAGCTCGTACCCCTCCGCCCGGGTCTCCTTCTCCACCATCCGCTCCTCTGCAGCTTCCGTGAGTAGAGCAGTTCTCTCCCGCGCAGCCATTTTGCGTTCACAATACCTATTACGATACCAGTCCCAAAGACCCCCGAGCAGAGGGCAGACCGGCAAGCGACGAATGGGCATGATTGAGCTGTTGACCTGCTCTAAGGCGTTGCTCGTAAATATCCCAAAGCGACGAGTTGGGGCCTTAATGCGAGTCCAGTGGATGAGGTTGATGCCCAGCTTCTTCCTCGTACCACGCTTGTTCTGCCTAAACCATGTCCTCACGCGTGCAGTGTGCTCCCCCTCCGCGGCACCGGCCTCAGACGTGTTATCATCGGCGTTCTCGTCTGCCCCCGCCTGGTTCCCTTCTGTTGCCGCTGGGTCAGCCGCAGCATCTGCCTCTGCCTCCTCTGCATCCGCCTCCTCCACTTCGTCCTCCTCAAAGTCGGCTTCAACCCTCACACGGGGGTTGCCACTACCGACATCCGGCCACGGGTGATCCAGACTGACAACGACCAGTGCCTGGCAGGTATTTCCCCCAGCCTGCTCCTCTCCCCCCTGGCCCGAGTTTCCGCTTGATCCTGTTGCACGTGGCGGGTCCGTCCGGATGCTGCTGGGGATGTAACCTGTCCTTACGCGTCGCAGGATGCGATTATAATCGAATGGACGTGAAGCTGCAGGAGTCAAGCCTGAGGGACGACTGGGCGGCTCGGTTGTGGTAGGGGGCTCAGGCGGCGGAGCCGTCGGGACAGAACTGCCTGCGGTAGGTGCAGGCCCTGGTTCGGGAGGTGTGGCTCCCGGCCCGCTCGCGTCACCCGCCCCACGCCCACGCGCACGTGATGTGGTCCCTAAACCCCTGGCGGAACGCGCTGCTTCACGACCCTGGCGACGGTTCTGTGCAGCTTGTTGACGTGCTTCAGCCGCTGTAGTGGGGGCGGGACGTTGCTGCTCTGCAGCATCTGCCGGTGCTGGACCCGAGATAGGCTTCTCATCGCCGAGGAGATAGTTCATCATTTCCTTGAAGTCACGGCGGCCGGCTGAAACCAATGCGTCCCATTTGTCGTCGTCCCTGCACTTCACAAGACGCCAATAGAAAAGAGCAGCAACCTCTCCAAATTTCACAACATTCTGGTGGAGATGCCAAGCACAAAAGTAATGAGGTATGCCAGCCGGGAGTACATCTCGTGCAGCAGGAATCAGGCCCTTGTCGCGATCGCTGATAATTGATGCATCGTCACGGTGCGGCCACTCCGGGAAGCTCTCTAGAAAGTGTTGCAGGAACCAGGACCACGAGTCTTTGTTCTCTCCTTCGACCAGAGCCCACGCCAGCATCAGAATCTTCTGGTTGCTGTCAAGTGCCACGGCAATGAGCAGGGTTGCGCGTTGAGCACTGATTAGGAAGGTCCCGTCTAGTGCAACAACGGGGCGGCAAAAACCAAGCGCACCACGAGATGCGGACGGCTGAATGTACATCCGGTGGAAGCATCCGTCGACCGTCTGAATCTTGAACATTCCACCCGGATCGTTCTGCTCAAACCTGCGAGCCAACTCCGGGAGCAACCTGAACGACTCCTGCCAATCCCCGTACATTTCCTTCTGGATTGCCTCACGCAGCCGCCACGCCTGCTTGTAACTGATGACAAACTTGCTGTGTGCCGAGAGAATCTGCTGCAAGGTCTTCGCAGAAATGAAAGGTGCGCCACGAACAAGGTTGCCCCATTGTCGCTTAATGACCTTGATGCTGTTGGCGATGGCGTTTGCTCCTTGCTCTCGCTTGAATTTGCTGCAGATGTGAGCTTCAGGGGGGCAAAGCGGCGTCACTTCCCAGAATCCGCCATGTACAATCTTACTGTAATTGCATTCCCAAGGGCAGATGGACAGTACTCCACGCATGGCTGTTTTGCATTGGAGTATCACGTGGGCATCCGCCACCTCGACAGTCCCGAATCCAAAACGGTGCCGCAACGCGAAGGCTTGCACCGCCTTTAGTGCCGCACCCCTCGAGGAGTATATTGCACCTTGTGTCAGTGGGGCATTATCTCTAGGGGCTTTTGGTTGTGCTTCCGGAACGGGGGGGACGTTTCGCATTGCCTCTAAGATACTATTCGCTATACGCTCGACGCTATCAGGTGGTTCCGATATGGTTCCTGCAGGGTGTTGAAAGTATATCGTCACATCTAATGCCAATGGTCGGTACTGGCATACTTAAACAACTTAGAAACCTACCCAATAACCTGCTCTTGACGATGGTACAGTGTGTATACCACGTTGATGACTGAACAGCAGTTAATTCGGGGAGGAAAGGTGGGGCGCATGAAATTTCCGAGGCGCCAAACTGTGCGCGCTCGACAGTGTCAGCGATTTGGATATCCAGCAGTGCTTCACGGGCCCTTTGTGAGACCTCTCTGGGGCAACGACAGTGGCGGGATTGTAATTTCTGGCGGTGAATTGGCTGCGCGCGCGAAATTGTTCGGTGTGGAAAGTTTGAAGTGTTTCACGTGTTGTTCACGGGCCACGCGTCGAACGTGAGTGGCGGGAAAATTGAGCGCCCATTTAAAAAGTACAGTGATTCCGTGATCGAAGGAGAGAATCTACTTGTAATCATTGACCCAGACTGTTCCGAAAGTATCCTTGGCGGCGTTATGATGGGTCGCGAAGTTCAGTTGGAATAGTCGCCACGGGCAGAAACCATCGGCCATTTCAAAACTCGTAACTGACCTCGGGAATCGGGCGCGGTCGCGTGGTGGGGGGTAGTGGGAAAACCACTGCCCGTTGGAATTGGAGATGAGCAAGCACCGCGGTTCGTCATTTCCTCCCCCTCTTGACACCAGGAGGTTTATTCCTCCACATGTTTTCCGAGTTGGTGGCATGCCACTAACCAATGTTGCCACCAACCGGGGATACTACCTACAAGACATGAACCCCTCATCCTAGCAACCACCTTCGTCCCTGCCAAAAGCGGATCGCCGATGCCGGGGATCGAACCCGGATCTTCCGCGTGACAGGCGGAGATACTGACCATTATACTACATCGACATATTTGATGGAAATTGTTGTAATAATATACTCAGTAAGAATCAGCATGGCGGCTGTCTTTCAGTTGACGACTCCAGTGGTGACGGCACGAGTGTCCGCTTGAGTCGATTCGAAGCGCAGAGCAGCGGATTCTCGCTCGGCGCGCCTGACCGATTGGACCCGACGAGAGCAAACCAAACCAAAGGAAACCGAACCAGACCGGAAAAGAGTTCGAGCCGGGAAGCAGGCATGGCGGGCGGCGTGGGTCCGATGATGACGGCGCCGGTATCGCCGGAAGAGGTGCTTCAGAAGATGATGCACGACGGCGTGTTTGATTCGCTTAAGAACCGGATCTTGCTCGACCTCAAGCATAATGTACGCGTTATAATCGTTTTCGATGTTTCGTTAGGAGCCTGTTAAGGTAAAATCATGCGCGACGGCGTGTTCGACTCGCGCAGCAACCGAAAACTGCTCGATCTCAAAGCAGCGACGTAATGTTAATAAGAGAATTGTTTTTTTCCAGTCAAAAGCATACACCCCGAAGTTGGCTCAGGGCCGTGAAACCCTATTGGCCCACGACGCGCAGCTTTCCCCCCCCCCCTCCCCCCCCCCCCTTCCCCCGCCCCCTCCCATTAGCCCCGTAACGTGTCCCCTTCTTTTGGGGGTCTCAAAAGACGAAGCGGGTGCAGAGACGTCAATTTCAAATGGCGTCCCCCTATTAGAATTCTACATTCGAAAGACGACGCACGCACGCATCCATCCCCTTCCGCCGCTCCTTTCCGTGTGACTAACAGGAGGAGCGACCCGAGGAGCGACAGGAGGAGCTGGTGCGAAGCAGCGAAACTCTATCTGCTCATGATGCACGCACCCCCTCCACCACCCCGTGTGGCATTGAGTCGCACGGAGCAGAACCATAACTAGCTGACTGAGTCGACTCAAAAGACTTCTCATGATGTTCGCACACTCTCCCGCACCCCAACACCCACCTCCCCCCCCCCGCTTTTTCTTCCACCCCCTCTCCCCTCTAGTTTTGACACGTCTCAAAACCACATCACCTCCCTCCCCTCCTCTCCCCTTCCCTACCCAACAACCCCCCCACCCCTCTCCCTTTCCTCCACCCAACCCCCCCCCACCCGTCTCCCTTTCTCCACCCACCCCCCTGCCTGCCTGCACTATTCCAATCCAACAGGAGGAGCTGCGGCAGTACACGGCTAAGCTGGTGCAGAGCAGCGAAACGCCATATGCTCCTTACTCGTTCTCTCTTCGTCTCCCATTCCCCCCCCTCTTCCCTTTTAACAGGAGGAGCTGAGGCAGTACACGGCTAAGCTGGTGCAGGGCAGCGAAACTCTCTCTGCTCACGGCGCCCTCCCCACTTTCACTCCTTTTACCCAACCCTCCTCCCCCGTCTCCTTTATTGTCCCCCATCTCCATTCAGGAGGAGCTGCGGCAGTACACAGCTAAGCTGGTGCAGGGCAGCGAAACTCTCTCTGCTCATGACGCCCGCACGCGGAACCGACGAGAGCTATTTGAAGCATTGCGGAAAGAACTGGAGTGAGTGAGATGTGCGGGGGTTTGAGTGGGTTTGAGTGAGTGCGTGCGAAGGTGTTGGAGTGAGTGCGAAGGTGGACGTCAGTGTTTGAATGAAGCCTAGGCGCCGCTCGCACGCGCAACCGGCGGAAGCTGTTTGATTTGGAGCTGCATGGAAATCACAAAAGTGACATTTTGAGAATTCCCTGAAGTGATTTCCGGCGGGAGCTGTTTGACGCTCTGCACAAGGAACTGGGGTGAGTGAGTGGGGGGGTTGATTGAAGGGGCTCAAGTGGATTCGAAAGGGGGTCCAGTGCGTTTGAGCGCGATCAAGTGGGTTTGAAGGGTAGCGAGTGCGTGAGAACGTGAACGTGTGTGTTTGAAGCCTAGGCAACACACACACAAATGATGGGATCTGTTTGAGCACTTCTGACAGCTCAAAAGGTTTTTGAAAACTTCTTACTACTCGGAAGCTGTTTGAAGCACTACACAAGGTTCCTTCCTTCCAGTCACAAGCGGATTTCAAAGCCTTTGGAAGCGCCTCATTCATAAACATACGCGACGCACAGGCAGTCGATGGGAGCTGTGTTTGAAGCACTACACAAGGTTCCTTCCTTCCACTTACAAGTGGATTTCAAGTACACTCGAACCTCTTCCTACTTCGTGGCTGAGCCTGAGAAGGCGTCTGGTTTCGTTTCGCATGGTTTGTCATGCTCTCTCCTCTCTCTGGGAAGGGGGGTCAGAGAGGAAATTCATGCCAGGGCAAAACCGCGGCCCCCGGCTTTCTCCCCCCGCTCCCCCCCACACTCTCCCCACACTCAACCCGCACTCCCCCCACACTCCCCCCACACTCCCCCCACCCCCCCCCCATATCCAGGGCGCCAGTGGTTGAGAAAGCATCAGGATTCGCGTGGTCCCTCATTCTCGCGCCTCTTTCCGGAGGCGTTGGGGAGGAAATCCACTCGCGAGTCGAAGAGACCTTCACTCGCCTGCTCTCCCTTCCCAACCCTCCTTTCTTTCCCGCTCTATGCACCTGGCTCCCCTGCTGCTGTTACATCACGCTTGCAGGGCGCCAGTGGTTGAAAAGGCATCTGGCTTCGCATGGACCCTCATGCTCTCACCTCTTTCTGGGGGCGTGGGGGAGGAAATTCACTCCCGCGTCGAAGAGACCTTCACTCGCCTGCACGCTGAGAAGGCGGCCAGTGACGCGCTGACACGTGGCGGCGGCAGCGGTGCTGCTGGTGGGAGTTTTGAGGATGCGGTGGTGGCAGCGGGGGAGGCAACGGGAGAGGCAATGGCGGCAGCGGCACGCGTGGCAGCAGCGGCGGGTTTTGGCCCGAGGAAAGGCGGGGGTGTTGCTGCTGCAGGCGGTGGCGGTGGAGGGGAAGGCACTGGTGGTGCTGGGAAAGGAAGTGTCGCTGTTCCGTCAGAAACGGTAAAGGCAGATGTTAAGGCTGAGGCTGAGGCGGAGGTTGAGGCGGAGGGGCCTTATGGTGGGCCTGTGCTGCCTGGAATCCGGTGTATGACGGATATCACTGGGGAGAATGATGCTGATGATGCTGCTGCTGCTGGTGCCGCTGGCGCTGCCTCTACTGCTGCTGCTAATAATGCTGCTGCTCCTGCCACTGGTGATATTGCTTCTGCTGGTAGTGGTGGCCGTGGTGGTGATAAAGCTGACGACGCCGGTCGAAACCGAAGGGACGACACGGGTTCCGAGATTCGGATGAGGAGGAACAAGTGGGACGAGGGGGGAGCAGGTCCGGAAGCCCGAGGGGCCGACGGGAGCAGGGAGGGCTACAGGAGGGATTCGGATGGAAGCAGGCGATTTAGAGCTGAAGACCCCCCTCCTCCTAGGAGGTCTAAGTTTTCAGCAGAGCATGGTCACCGGTGGGGAGGGGTTGGGAGGGATGGGGGACGCGGTGGGGAGTGGGGAATGGCAGGGGAGTGGGGAGGAGGAGAGGGGCCGCTGGAGAGGAGGGGTAGTAGGGAGGGGCCGGCTGAAGCGCCGTCCTCTGCCCCTGCTACAGCCACAGCAGGAGGCTCGGGAGGTGCTGGGCCGGGAGGGTTTGGTCCTAACCTGGCGCCTTTTCATGGTCCGGGAGGGGCGCAAGCAGCAGTGGCAGCAGCAGCGGCAGTAGCAGCGGCTGCGGCAGCAGCAGCAGGGGCAGCAGGAGGGACAGGGGGAGCAGGCGGTGGGTATGGTCCTGCTGCTGCTGCTGCTGCCGCTGCTGCTGCCGCAGCAGCAGCAGAGGCGTATGGGTATTCGGGAGGAATGGGAGCTACTGGGGGAGGGTTTTCTGGGGGAGGTTATATGGGCCGGGGCATGTCGATGCAGCACCTGCATTTTGGTATGGGCCGAACCCCACCCTCTTGGTTCGGGTCAGGTTCGGCAGCCTGGGCAGCACAGTTCCAGGCCTTGCAGATGGGTCGGGGAGCTGGGAGCGTAGGAGGTTTTGGTTCGGGTGGGATGGGAGGTATGGCAGGAGGACAGTTAGGCTCGGGAGGCTATGGTTCGGCAGGGTACGGCTCGGCAAGTGAATGGGGTATCTCAGGGGGTAACCCTCATGGCCACGTGTCATCAGCTCATCCTAGTCATCCATCTGCCCAGATGACGTCACCTCGTGCTGTCGCTGACACAGCAGCAGGAGGAGAATCCAGGTACACGTCAGCGCGAGGTGGCGACAGGAGGACGAGTGGATTGCAGGCTGTTTTTGGGGGTGGGGGCAGTGGTGGGGGAAGGGAGGGTGAGGATAGAGGGAAGGGCAGGAAGGATGGGGCTGAAGCTGCTGGCCCTGCTTCTGCTTCTCCTGATGCCGGTGCTGCTACTGGCGCTGTTGGCGCTGCTGCTGCTGGCGCTGCTGCTGCAGTGTGTGCTTCGCCAAGCGGGGGAGAGCAAGGGGATCTTCGCAAGTCCACCAGCAGAGACAGTGTGGGCAAGCCAGCAGCAGGAGCAACAGCAGCAGAGCCGTGGGACGCGCATTTAAAGGGTGCCAACGCACCCAGATTCCACCCCGGCACGTCACACCGCATGCCCGGGGGCTCATCATTCCACCCTCCCCATGGTCATACCAATTCCCATGCCCATCCCCATCCGCATCCCCATGCGCATGGGCATGGGCATGGGCCTGGGCCTGGGCCTGGGCCTGGGCATGGCAGTGCTGGTTCAGGTGCTCGAGCTCGGGGACTGAGTGCTGCTGGTCTGCCTAATGCTCCTGCCAGCCGTGCTCCTGCTGCTGCGGGCGTTGCTGCACCTGCTGCTACTGGTGCTACTGGTGGTACCACCGCTGCTGCTGGTGCCAGTGCTGCTGGGGCTTCCAAGTCCCCTTTGGCTCACAGGCCGTCCATACCAACGCCATCACGCCTGCCCAAGCCGAGGGAGGCTGTGAGAGAGCAGGATAAGGGGCGGGAGCAGGGCGAGGGGCAGCTGAAGAGGAGAGGATCCGTTGGCAGTGCCATTGGCCCTGCCAGCGGTAGTGGGGTTGGTGGCGCTGCTGCTGCTGCTGGTACTGGGATTGGTGCGATTGGTGGTGGTGCTGGGGTTGGTGGTGCATGCAGTAAGGAGAGTGGGGCGAGCGCAAGAGGAGAGAAAGGCGATGGTGGCGCTGCAAGGAGGAAGGAGGTGGGACAGAAGGCGCCCGTAAAAGGGCAGCAGGTGAAAGTTCAGGGGAAGGAACAACAGGCAAAAGTACAGAGGAAAGAGCAACAGCAGAAGGTGCAGGGGAAAGAGCAGAAGGAAGCAGGCAAGCAGCAGCAGCAACAGCTGGCAAAGACCAAGGAAGAGCCAAAGAAATTGCAGCAGCAGCAGCAGCAGCAAGTCAAGGGAGAGCACAGGGTTGAAGGGAAGGGGGTGGAGAAGGAGGTGAAGGTGCAGTCAGTTCCAGCAGCAGCAGGGAAGGATGAGGCACCACCGCAGCAAGCATTGCAGCTGCTCATAGGGAAACGACCCAGCAAGTGATGGGCGAGTTGGGGGTGCTTATAATGTGCCCTTTCGAAGATGTGGATGTAGGTAATGGTGACTGTCTGTTAAGGGGATACACCACTTTCTTCTCTTGGCATTTGCCTTCTGTGTGTTATCCAGCTCACGTAGGGATGTGTGTTATCCAACCTGCCATACTCACTAGCAGGTTAGCAATATGTTGATCTAGGGGTAAAATCAGTCTGCATAACAATACTAAAAAATATTGCTCGTACCAAGAGTCAACAATGCTCACAAATGCTTCATGGCTTCAGAGGCTTTAAAAACAGGCCTGCTTTAGTATCAATAACATTCTTGGCCATACGGACTCAAAAACGAGCCCAGCAATAGTCACATTCCGATTCGCAATCTCCTTTACAGTCAAGCGTGTATCCAAGCACCAGAGGGTTCCGCAGGACCACTCCCCTCAGGGAATCGCCGCTGATCCGCCATTCCTGGTCCAGCTTAGCGACATTTGGCGTCAGCCGCTTCTCCACGCTGCACGCCAAGACTTGGGGAAATTCCCCGAAGTATTTCTTGAAATCCGCATCTTGAAATCTGGCCGTTTCTTTGAGAAAGGAAACGACTGATGAGATTTGATCTGGCGACGGAACGACATTGACGATCTCGTCTCGCCAGTACGATCTGGCCGTCCATCCGAAAGCTTTCGCGAGCACGGTTTCGGCGGCATCAGTTTCGAGACCAAGGGTTTCAAGCATCCCTCTGCATTCTAGCCATTGCTGCAGCTGATCGCCAGAAAGCTCTTTCGACGGCGACGCAACGTTTGCTGGCTTAGTGCTGGCTCTGCAAACGAGCTTGGCTGCTCTATGATTGGAAGAGGTTGTCAGAGTTTGAGGAAGCGCTCCATTATGAGCAATTGACGACCAAGATTGTGTTGGAAAGTGAGTGATGCTTTGTCGGGTGATCAAGCACGCGGCGCCGGATACTACAATCTGTAGAGTGGCCATTACAGCTTCAGCTGATTAGAGGAATCTCAACAAAACAGAATCAGCTGCGAAAACGAAGCAGTGAGGCTGCGTGACGAACTTTACGGTGTGTACACCCGGTATGTGGAAAGCCAGAAGAACAATGGTCGAGGCTGAATCCAGGTTCCTGGCGCCTTGAATTCTGCCTCATCAGTCAGTCAGTCATACCCTGGCCAAGGTCTGTCCTGAACTCTGAATCATCCTGATTCCTCCATAGAGCAGGAAGTTCATCCGCTTTGCTGAGAACCTTGGGCTTTCCTTGTGGTTGGACGGGAACGTCCATGACGTGGCCGAACCAGAGCCGCTAGACACTGGTGCACGAAACTTTTGCTTGGTATGGAACATGAAGAAGCAACACGCTGGTGCATTTGTTTCGTTATTACACGCTTCGATTATGTTAACCGTCCTATTGACTCTGCTTGACTGTGTAAATTTTGAACAAGCGGCTATCCAAACCAACAACTGGCCCGATACAACAACCTTGGAATGGAAGCGCTGCTGGAGAACGAGGCAAAAAAGCAGGCAACCACCGACCAAGGGTTGACGCGCCGCGTAACGAGACAGAGGCAAACGTGAAACGAATGCGGCCAGGGCAGGGCAGGGGAAAATGAGCGCAAGCACCCCAACCCAGGCGTAGGTGCGTGACGGTTAGGGGAAATGAGAGCGGCTTGCCCTGACCCCTGACCAATTGGTTCGCGCAGCCTCGCCCCCTCCTTTGTCCACCCTGGGGAGCGTGCCCGCAAACAACAGTTTGCCTTCCGCATCCACCCCCTTCCTTCCAGCCTCGTCTTCCGTACTGTGGGGCCACAATCGCAACTTTGTAGTACTGTACAGTGCTACCCCCATATCGAGGTCATCGTGAACGTCCGAAATTCTACAAAACAGTAATCCTCAATAAGCCGACGGCTCAGATGTCGTATCTTAACTAATTCCCAGGGTTACCAAAAGGTTGTCGGACCTCTGGGCTTCTCCTGAACCAACATGCCCATGCTTTGCGGAAGCCGTATGTTGTCTCAAGAATCAGCCAGGCATGTGTGTCTGATGTACATAGTTTTCCCATTTCATCCCAAACCACAGCTCACGACAAGCTCTAGACAGCACCGTCACATGAGGAGCTTTCTTGGATTGAACAAGTACATCAACCTCGAATAATCAGCCGTTTCGCCATCGAGCATCATGATTCATGATGTTTGATATTCTCGTAACTTGCGGGCATCAGTAGTCTGTTGCTCTCAGGACCAGGAGCCAGGTTGGATTCTGGAGCATTACAGTCTGAATCTGACGCCGTGACTGACAGGCAACCTCAGTGCTTGAGCAGTCAGCACTTGTCAGTAAGTAATTTTCTGAGTTAACGAAAGCCACGCTCCACGCTGATTATTAGTCGTACGCGTTTTGAATGAATTTGCGGATTCCAGCTGACTAGCCAGGTCTCGCATGCCAGATTTCAACAGCTTATCCGTACATCCCGACTCCGATCCTTGCGCATTTGAAGAAGTTTCTTTAGCTCCTTGTTCCCAGGATAAGAGAGCCTCTTGAACGGTGCTATGCTTTCGAAGCCGTAGTGTGGGAAGACGTAGAGTAGCTATCGTCCATCCGGCAGCTGTAGCTCCATCCAACGACTTCAGTTCCATGTGATGGGAGATTGGCGCAGCCGAGGAGCAGAATCTAGAGCAGGGACGCATAACTAGTAACTACGACTGTTGAAGAGCTACGCCGGCGAGTTGAATTATAACACTTAGCCCGATTTTCTGTTCACAATTCGTATCCCCGTCCGCCATCATGCCGTCGTCATCTCGCATTAGAATCAATGTCGGTGGGCAAATCTTCGAAACGTCCCGCGAAACGCTCGAGCTAGCGGGTCGCGGGTCGCTCCTAGGAGCCATGCTGGACCCAGTCTGGGCGTCTCGCGACGCTCGCCGCTCCCATTTTCGCGAATCTGACTCGCAATCCCATCATGACACGTGTCGCACATCGGGAACTCGCCTGAGACGGATGGCGGAAGAGGAGGAGGACACACCAGAGATTTTTATCGACCGGGATCCGAAGACTTTTGGCGTGTTGCTAAATTTTCTGCGGTCCGGTGTTCTTAATATCCCGTCTGGAGTTACCGTTGATGCGGTGCTTAGCGACGCGGACTATCTCGGCCTGCTGGACGCCGTTAAGGCCGCGCGCCTGCCGCCGGGTCTGGACGCGAATGAGATGCACAAGGTGAGTGGTTTGGAATTGCCTTGTAACGCAGGAGGTAGGAACACAGGTAGTGCGTGCGATGTTGGGATTGTAGGCGTCCCGGTTAAGGCCGCGCTCCTGCCGCCTGCTCTGGACGCCAATGAGATGCACAAGGTGAGGGAATTGGAATCGTCTCGGAACACAGGTAATAAGTGTGATGTTGGAATCGTAGGCGTCCCGGTGAAGGGAGCGCTCCTGCCGCCTGCTCTGGACGCGAATGAGATGCAGAAGGTGTGTAGGATCTTGTTTTCCGTCAATCTCCTGTCTCCCACATACCTTGCAGGGGCTTGACGGACGACCTTTTAAGCACCTCAAACTCAACCTCTTCCCCGCTCCAAACCAACTCCCCTCCCCCCTCCCCGCCCTCCCTTAATCCCCGTCCTGGTTAGACGTCCGTTCTTCGGCCAAACGTGGGCCCCGCTGACGTGTGCACGGCCCTGGCTGCGCATGAAGACGGCTCTGTTGACGTGGCACATGGCGCCCGGGTGACGTGTTATGACTGGATGCTACGTCACACCGCCACCATTATCACCGACCTTCCCCAGGTGGTTAAACGCAGGTGGCATTATAGTTTTCCAGAACCTGCTGTTGCGCTTATGCCGTGGAGTTATGTGTGGGGGGGGGTTGAGTATATAGCACAATCACAATCAAGGGATGTGGTAGGGATGTGGGGGGGTTTGTGTCTGGGATATGCTGGGCTTGTGACAACCCACATGTCCTCACTTCCATTTTCCTCCAATCTGATGCTGTCAGGTGGACACCATCTGCCGCTTATCAGAGTCTCGGATCATCGTGGGGGGCGGCAAGGGCTGCTATCATCTGCCCATCTACGACACACGGGGTTACAATAACACATTGAACACACTGAGCACATATGACAACGATAATTTCACATCGGCCTTCCCTTCCTCGTATGCCTCCTCCCATAATGCTTACCCCTCGCATTCCCCTTACTCCTCCCCCTACTACTCTTCTCTCTCCAACTCCCAGACCACTTACGGTTCTCCTGCCACCCTCCCATCCCTCTCCCCTTCCTCTCTATCCTCATACACTCCCTCCCCCTTAACCCTCAACCAGCCACCCCCCTCCTCCTCCATCTCCCCCATCATCCTCCCCCAATCCGCCTCCCACTACCCAACCCCCACCACCAACCCCCTCTACTCCCCCCCTCTCCCTCCATCCCTCCTCCCCTCCTCCTCCGCGTTCCCCTCCCCCTACTCCCCATTCGCGCCAACCTGCAAAATTGGGTCAGTGGCTCTTAGAGGGGCCTCCCACCCATCTTTCCGCTCCATAGTTCAATCTGACCGCTTCTTATTCGTGGCGAGCCTGAGAAAGACTCTTGGAGTGGAGTGGGGGGTGGGGAAGGCGGTGGGGGTGGTGGATCGGGCCACGCTGCAGAGCGTGGGGGAGGCAGGGCCAGCGCCTATTACCACCAGGCGGATGGGCGGCCCTGATAAGCTGCAGTGGCTGTCTTCTCGAAACCTTCTCATGGTCGCGCGTCGATACACCCGTGAGTCGACCTCTTTCTGACATGTGGCGTACTCTGATTGGCTGTCCGGTAAAGCAGGTAAGCAATAGAAAAGGAAGGCCACATAATGGGGGCATAGGAGCACAAGGCAGGGCGGTGGGTGGGACGGGAATGTCGGGTTTGGAAGGAAAGCGATAGAGGTGGAGCGTAGAGGAATTATGGATTTGGACAGTCGAATTCATGCCAGGCCCACATCAGCTGGTTGCAGTGGGGGTCCTACAAGTGCAGGTAGGATGGACCTGCACTGCCGCCTTTGACTGCGACTGCTCAAACGATGAGAAAGCATGAGGATCAGGATGGGAACAGGAATGAAAGGAAGGATAAACAGGGGAGAGGGAGAATGAGGTTCGTCGAATACACGCCAGCCACACACCAGCTGGTTACAGCGCGGGTCCCACATGCGAAGCAGGGTGGACCCTCATTGTCCAACAGGAGCATAGTGAGGGTCCATCTTACCTGCGTATGTGGGACCCGCGCTGCAACCAGCTGGTGAGGAACTGGCGTGAATCGACAACCCGTAACTCTCTCACGTCCCCTTCGACCGTCGTTGTGCTCTCTTTGACGTGACTGCTTGCAAATCCCTCTCCCTACTCCTCAAAGGCTCCCATTTCCTTCTCACCCTTACCTTCCATTCCGCCCTCCCATACCCATCCCCAATCCTAGTGCTTCCTCATCATGTAAACAGCCGAGGTATAGGGGGGCAATGAGGAACCATTTTACTTGCGCCTGTTAAACCCGCACTGCAACCAGCTGGCCTGGGACTGGCCTGAGTTCAACAGCCCTGCACAAACTCCTCCTCTCGTTCTTACCCATGCCTTCTCGCTCTTTTCTTTCTCTCCGTGTATAAGCAGCTAGCGTTCAGGGAGGCTCCGAAGGTCCATCCTACCTGCGTTTGTGGGACCCGCGCTGCAACCAGCTGGTGTGGGACTGGCGTGAATTTGACGACCCTCAACCCTCGCTCGTCCCCTCGGACCGCTGGTGTGCCCTCTGCGACGCTACCGCCTGTGAAGACCTCTCTCTCCTCCTCAAAGCGTCCCCTTCCGCCCCAGACTCCTCCTCCCGCCTCTCTGCTTTCGACCTGAGGAAGCTGCCACTGCCTGGGACTGGGAATTCGGCCGGTGCTGGTGTTTCTGTTCCCAGTGGTGCTGCTGGTGGTGGTGCGGCTCAAATGGGTTCTGGGTTGGGGCTTGGTGGTGATGATGGTGGTGCTGGTGGTTTTTATGTTGGCGGGGGTGGCAGCGGCAGCAGTGTTGGCACTGCAGCAGCAGCAGCAACAGCAGCAGGGGCGGGAGGAGCAGGAGGAGGCGCAGGTGTAGGGTTATCCACCACAGGCACACCCACAGATAGCTCAGCTAGCAGCAGTAGAGGGTTTGGAAACATCTACCGCCCAGCAGCCGTATCCGGGCCGGTACCAGTAGCAGGAGGGCCGGTTCCCTCTATAGGCCAAGACAGCTGGACCGTCATGCAATGGCAATCCCCTGACTCGCTGCGAATAGGAGGAACCAGCACGCAAAGAGACTCGGGCAGAGTCGAAACGAGCACGATTCGCCTGCTCGTCGTCCCGGGCAGGTCGCAGATTGTTTGCAACCGCTGTCCGTCGCTGGAGGTGTGGACTCCAGTCAGCAATCCGTTTGTGCCTGTGGCTACTGGTAGACTCTCCCGATGGGCTTCTTTGGATGAGGAGAAGCTAGGAAGCTTCCTCTCTGTGGGTGGGGGACAGGGGGGAATAGGGGAAACAGGGGGGGTACTGAGAATTGGAGGCAGGGGGGCGGGTGGGGGAGGAAGAGGGGATGATGTGCTGGGCGGGTACCCGAGAGGGGCTTTAACCCCTGGGTCACTTTCTGCTGCAGCTGCAGCTGCAAGGGGGTTTGAACCACCGCCTGTAGATGGTACAGCCCGCTATACAGGGGATGAAGTGGCAACTGCAGTGAGGGTGGTAGGAGGGGGAGCAGGGGAGGGTGCAACAGCAACACCAGCTGGTACTGCTGGTGTTGATGCTTCGACTTCTGCTGCTGCTGGCACTGGCAATAGCAGCGGCAATAGTGCTGCTGCTGCTGCCGCCCCTCCTCCCACACGTTTCGACCCGTACTCCTTCCGAAAGACCTATGGGGACACCATGGGCGAATATCAAAGGCGGCGGGTAAACTTTGAAGCGCCCCCAGATCACTGGGTGTACGACATGGCGTTTGGCGGGAACAGGCTGTTTCTGGCTCGGGATGACCAGAGGCCAGGAGGTTCGGGGCTAGGTTCGATCGAGGTTTGGGAGACCCGAACGAATCACAGAGTTGGTCCTTGAAGCGAGAACTCGTTGTAAATGAGAGGGAAGGGGGAGGAGGTGGAGAGAAAGGGGAGGAGGAGGGGAAGAGTGGGGAAGGGTGGGATGGGGGAAGGGGAAGATGATGTGTGTATGTGGGTGCACCTTGAAAAGGTGTGCTTGCGTTTCATTTGTGCTTTGTTTTTAGGTTCATTACGAGGGCTTGATTTGATTTTCCCTTAAATGGTTCGGCTGGGAGGCTATAGAAAGGGTTTCTAAGGTTTGTGATGTGAGAATTTCGAGATGGATGCATTCTACAGTGTTTCCATATGGGAAGAGGTGTAGAACTCTACCTCAGGGCTCTCATCCTTCCCATATGTAGTATTGTCTGTTGTACCGTATCAAGGTTTTTAATAAGCTCCTTCCATCCTATCTCTAACATCAAATCAAGGTGTCCAGACACAACATGTTCAACAAAGGAATATTGCACTGTACACAACAAAACACCTACTCCAGTTGTTTGGCGCTTGCTTTTGTACACATAACTGTACAGGCCAGGTATCAGTTTTTTATTCCAAGTGATTGCATGAACACAGAGTACGACGACTCAAGGTCAAAACTCAATTGCCGCGCCTGCTCTTCCGACAGCTCGTCACTAGCAGCCATGCTGTTGAGGCGCACGAGCCAGTCCCTGACCTTGGTGCGACCCTCAAACTCGGCTGGTAAAGATGGCACGCTGCAGAGGGAGTTGAGGAGCAGAGAGAGCAGCGGGTGCACCTGGGGAAGGGGGGAACGGCAGGGGGAGGGGAAGGGGAGAAGCGGGAAAGGGGAATGAGACATGAGAGAACAGAAAGTCTCGAACTCGGCTGGTAACGACAGCACGCTGCAGAGGGAGTTGAGGAGGAGAGAGAGCAGCGGGTGTACATGGGGAGAGGGGTGGGCAGAGAGAGGTGGGCAGTGGCGGGTGGGAAGGAGGAGGGACGAAAAGCAGAAGCTTGTTGGTAAGAAGAGAGGGCATGCAGCAGAGGGAGTTGAGGAGCAGGGATGGCAGCGGGTGCACCTGGAAGAGAGGGGTGGGGGGGTGGAGGGGAAAGGAAGAAACAGCAAAAATGAGTCGCTAGCAGCCATGCCATTGAGTCGCACGAGCCAGTGACCAGTCCCTGACCTTGGTGCGACCCTCAAACTCGGCTGGTAAAGATGGCACGCTGCAGAGGGAGTTGAGCAGCAGAGAGAGCAACGGATGCACCTGGGGATGGGGAGGGAGGGAAGAACGGGGACAGGGAAAAAGAGAAAGAGCCATGCCATTGAGTCGCATGAGCCAGTGACCAGTCCCTGACCTTGGTGCGACCCTTGAACTCGGCTGGTAAAGATGGCACGCTGCAGAGGGAGTTGAGCAGCAGGGAGAGGAGCGGGTGCACCTGGGGGTGGGGAGGGGAGGGTAGGGTAGGGAGGGAAAAAAGGGGGAACAGCAAATGAATTGGCAGCAGCCATGCCGTTGAGGCGCACGAGCCAGTCCCTGACCTTGGTGCGACCCTCATACTCTGCTGGTAATGACGGCACGCTGCAGAGGGAGTTGTGGAGCAGTGAGAGCAGCGGATGGACCTGGGGGGAGGAGGAGGGTAGAGAGGAAGGCAGGAAGGGAGCGGGAAGCTCTGTAATAAGAAGAGATAACACTTTGCCGAGGGAATTGACTTTTGAGTCGACTCAAAAGTCAACTCGGAAAGCTCTATAATAAGAAGAGATAACACTTTGCCGAGGGAATTGAGGAGCAAGGGATGCAGCAGGTGCACCTGGGGGGGGGGTTGAGTTGAGTGGGTGGAAGGGGGTGCGGAAAAAAAAGAGGGGATGGGGTGGAGGTAGCGGGAAGAAAGGGAGCGTGGGGCAAGGGAAATGGAGAGCACATTGATGGGCAGAGAGAGCTTCGGGGGAGTAAGAGGAGCGGGTGAAGCGGTGGTGGCGAGCTGGGGGGCAGGAGGGGAGTGTGGGGCCATGACTCAGAAATTTCAATGCTCACCTGATTAGGGCAATATGGGAGTGTTTAGTGTTTACCTGATCTACCGCGAGCATATTGAGCTTGACAGTATCCATGGCCGTTATGAAGTGCTGCACCGTCTCAGCCACCGCTACAGTCGCACTACCGCTCTCCACCGTTGCAGATTTATGCTCCACCGTTGCCGGAACCCCAGCCACCAGGAGACGGTTCTTCGCTGCAGGACAGTCCATCTTGTACGTTGTCATGAATCGCTCTATATCGGGCACGGCGCCTTGCAGCGCGGTGCGAAGCGTCCGGAATTGGCCAATCAGCTTCGCGCAAGCGGGCTCGTAATCCGCGGGGGAGATCAAATCGCGGACGTACGCCTTCTCGAGCTTCTCAGTAGTCTTTATAATCGCGTACAAATCAGCGAAACTCTCGTACTGTTCTCTCTCCGCATCGCCCTGCCATAGAGGGATTTCAGACGCTCCGCCTCCCCCGGAAATCCCGGAGCCTCCTAACCCCGCTCGCGTGCCGTATGTCGCCATATGTGCATATAACGAAGGCTGTTTGTAGCGATGCTTTAGTGAACTCGGGTTATCGCTGTACAGAAGCTTCACCGAGGTCGTTGGCACCTTACAGAGCCGAGAAGGGGATATCCGAGCGCGTGCGTGTGATGGGCGCGACTGGGAAGTGACCTCCGCTGTAACACGGGCTTATATGAAAACGCCCTTAAAAACACAATAAAGACCCGGGCTTATAAAAGAATGCCCACAAAAAGGGTCAATAGTAGGCTTATAAAACGCCAAGAACATACACACATAACAGGGACTAGTCCTAATAGTAGCCTCAAGTCTTGGAGGCTTGGTAGGTGAAACCTTGGAAGAGAAAATGTAGCTTCACCAAGAAGATAGTAGATGCTTGAAGCACTTGTGAGGGAAAAGTCTTGGACTTAGAAGTAAAATCCCATTTCCATTTGGTTAATTGGAAGTTGGGAGTTGAGAATGAGCTTGGTGAGCTCAATCCCCCCCCTAGACCTCCTTGGGGAGCTCCACTTCCTCCATGGCAACAAGGGCAAGGAGCTCCTTTGGGTGAGCTTGCTTAGGTGGCACAATGGTTGGATTAGCAACCAATGAGAGCAATAGAATTGTGATAAGAATGGTTATGTTACATGTTGTAACTTGTAACAACAATGTTCAATTGTCATTGGTTGGAATTCCAACCAATGTGGGATTGGGTTGGATTCCAACCATGCTTGTCTTTTAGTGGGTGGTTGTCCACAATTGTGGACCAATCACCACTCATTTCCTCCATCCTCTTCTTCCCGTAAGTCGATACCTTGCTTAGGTAGTGCTTTAGCTAGGAAACGCTCGTAGGGTAGGAGGGCGATACGTTACACTCCTCCCCCTCCAGTTGGCAACGTCCCCGTTGCCTTGGAGTGCTTCTTGGGGCGAGTGCTGCGAGCACGACGCACCACATTACGGCCAGGGTCAACACCATCCACTGGCTGCGGGGCTGCTCGGAGAGCCAAGTCTTCCATGTAAGCTTGAACTGCTGTTTCAGTCAAGTGTTCCTCTGGCTCCCAAGAATTGTGTTCAGGCCCATAGCCTTTCCACTTAATGAGGAACTCACGTTTTGTTTTACGGCCGCGTTGTCGATCACGGTGCATAAGCACACGTTCGACTTCATAATATAGTTCCTCACCCAGGACGATGGTTGGTGGTGGTTGGTATGTGCCTTCGGCAACATATTTGTTTAACAGAGACACGTGGAAGACGTTGTGAATCTGCAAGGTATCTGGTAGCTTAAGCTTATAAGCCACCTCCCCAACCCGCTTGATAACCTCGAATGGCCCAATCCAACGAGGAAACAACTTTCGTGCCCCAGGTAGTTTGAGTCGAATGTTTTTCGTACTCAATAATACCTTATCTCCCTCTTGAAAAGAGACGTCCCGGCGTTTCATGTCAGCATAAGACTTTTGGCGTTGTTGGGCAAGTTGCAACCAACGACGAGTAGACTTAAGCGCTTCTTGCTGCTTGCCAATGAAGTCCTTAGCGGCTGGAATTTTCAAGCCACTGGCCCCATGTGTAGCAGGTGTTGTGGGGTGCCGACCGCAATTTAAGATGAAAGGTTTTTTGTGGGTGCTCTCATGCACCGAGTTGTTGACAGCAAACTCCACTACTCGCAACAGCGCATCCCAGTCATCTTGTGTTGGGCCAATAAACGAACGAAGCATTTGTTCAAGAGTGCGATTTGTGCGCTCGGTCTGCCCATCCGTTTGAGGATGGAAAGCAGACGACATCTTCAGCTTCGTCCCCAGTGTCCGAATGACCTCCTGCCAGAAACGGCTTGTGAAACGAGGGTCTCGGTCAGACACTAGCACACGGGGTAAACCATGTAAACGAAAGACATGTGCCACAAACAACTTGGCCGTATCTTCCGCTGATACGTCAGTGGTTGTAGGCACGAAGTGCACCATCTTGGTCAAACGATCTACGAAGACGAGGATCGCTGTATGACCATCTCGTGTTTTAGGGAGGTCAGTAATGAAATCTATTGACACACTCTCCCAGGGTTCATCAGGGATTGGAACTGGTTGAAGCAAACCACCGGGTTTTTGTGTGCTCGGTTTATTACGTGCACACGTGTCGCAGCGTGTAACAAACTGCTGGACTTCACTGCCCAACCCTGGCCACCAGTATACGTCAGACAATGCCCATCGGGTTTTCTTAACTCCGAGGTGTCCACTGTATTTACTGGCATGCACTTCTCGTAAGATGTCATTCCGCAGGTTCCCCACATGTGGTACAACAATTTCTTTTCCATGCCACCAGAGCTCATGCTCCCACGAGAGATCCTTCGTATTCTGTGGGTTCTGAAACCAGGAATCAATCTGATAGCCTGTGCGGATTCGTTTCAGAATACCACTGAAGGTAATCTCACTGACTCGGGCGACAGCGAGGATGCCAAAGTAAGCTGCAAAGACAGCAGCATGTTCGGTGTCCTCTAGCCCGTTTGCTGCCCCTATCAGCTGTCTGCTGAGGGGATCAGCCATGTTCGTCGAGCCTGCCCGATATCGAATATCGTAGGTGAATCCGCTAAGGAGTTCAGCCCATCGGGCTTGGCGACGAGTGAGGGTGGCTTGGCTGGAAAAGTAGGTGTTTGGACAATGGTCAGTTGTGACAACAAAGTCCACACCTTCCAAGTAACATCGCCATGTTCGTAGCGCATGGACGACTGCCAACAGTTCTTGTTCGGAAGTCGTATAGCGCTGCTCTGCCGGGGAGAGCTTTCTACTCTCGTATGCCACAGGGCATCCTTCTTGCAGGAGGACTGCGCCAATCCCTACTGTTGAGGCGTCTGTGACTACCTCGTAGGGTTTTGTTGGATCTGGTAATACCAGAACGGGAGCATTGGTCAACTTTTGTTTGACCGCTTCAAATGCCTGTTGGCATTGTCTGGTCCATTCCCACGCGGTACCCTTTCGAGTAAGTGCGGTCAATGGTGCAACAATGGTGGAATAATTCTCCAAGAAACGGCGAAAATAATTGGCCAAGCCCAGAAAGGACCTGACTTGACCCATGTCTTGTGGAACGGGCCAGTTCTCAACAGCCACCACTTTCTTGGGATCGACTTTCAATCCACTGTTCCCCACGAGATGTCCCAGATATTCTAGTTCGCGCTTATAGAAGTGACACTTCCATAAGCGAGCATAGAATTTGTGCTCTCGTAGTTTGTTTAACACCCATTTTAGGTGTTCTGTGTGCTCCTGTTCGGTCTTGGAATATATCAGTATATCGCCAAGGTAAACCAGGACGAACTGGCCGATTGCCTCACGAAAGACATCATTCATCGCCCTCTGAAAAGAGGCCGGTGCGTTAGTGAGACCGAAGCTCAGCACACGTCATTGAAAATGTCCAAACGGCGTGCGAAACGCTGTTTTGGGTACATCGTCGTTGGTGATGCGCAACTGATGGTACTGTTAGAATCGTAGGAGGTGGGGCCTAGGCTTAGTAGCCTAGGCCCACACTAGGAGGTAGGCAAGGTGCTTTAGAACTAGGACTTAGGGTTTGGGAAGGAGAATTGGAAGGAAGGAATGATGGACTAGCAAGCAGCAGGACACACAAATAGAAAACCCTAAGGGGTTGTACTCAGTATTGAGCACCCCACTGCATGCTAGACAAATAACATTCTGACAGGTACCCCTGTGCGAGGTCCAATGCGCTAAACCATTGGGCACCCTGGAGGCGATCAAACAGATCCTCAATGCGAGGCAGCGGATATCTGTTTTTAATTGTGATCTTGTTTAAGGCGCGATAGTCGACGCACATGCGTAGGCCTCCGCCCTTCTTGTTAACAAACAAGATTGGTGCTCCGTATAGTGACGCGCTTGGTTCAATCCATCCCTTTTTCAGATAATCCTCGATTTGTTGCTTAGCCTCTTCGTACTCAGCTGGACTGAGGCGATACAGAGGTCTAAACGGTGGTGCCTTCCCATGCTCCACTGGAATGGTATGACCCACAGCGCGGTCTGGGGGAAGTCCGTCAGGAATTGGTTCGAAAACCTCCTTGAATTCCTCCGCCAGAGCCTTCATCTGAGGAGGGAAATCCTCGATCTCAGGAGACGATTGTGTGGTTTCTTCTAGCTGTACCACAAAGAGTGTATCAGCTGATTTTGCGTCTTGCCCAAATTGATTTGCAAGGGCGAACTGAACGTCGGGGCGATCGGAACGTGGGGCATCAACAATGTTTACATCCCCTGAAACATGCCACCGAACCACAACACAATTCTTAGCAAAAGTTACTGTGTTGTGTTGAAAGTCAAGGATGACCTCATTGGCTCGAAGCCAGTCCATTCCGAGAACAAGATCTACGCCTGCCAGTAATGGAAGGACGTAAACATTAATGGTCTCGTGATAGCCTTGAATTTCCATATTGAAACGTGTCTGCCCTTTGCTTGGGATGACGCGATCGTCACCAAGACGAATGGGGCAAGACGGCCCTTCAACGAGGACCCCACGACTTTGTGAAACTATGAGCAGAGGAATGAATTGACTAAGTCAGAGTTGGGTACAAATACAACCCTGGCAAACTGTACCCCATATGTGCTACCCCACTATAGCCTACAAACATGCATCAGCTATAATAATCTGACACACCCCCATAGGCAAAGTGGGGGAGAACAAGGGGTCACAAGACCAGTCAAGCAAAGCAAAACAAGCTCAGGGTGGATCACAAAGTCACCACACAGTCCGAGCACAAGAGCAAGGCCAGAGGCCAGTTCACATGCAGGAGTAAAGACATATATATAAAACTAGACAAGCAAGAGCAGGTATATATATGTCAAAGTACAAGTAAAGTCAAGAAGAGAGCAAGTGAGGCAAGACAGGTACAAGACCCAGCTGGGTACAAAAGCGCTGATGGTCGCAAGGCGCAAGTGCCTTGGTGAACACATCAGCAGTGTTGGCCTCAGAGGCCACGTAAGCAAGTCGCAACTGACCACGCTGCTGCAGCTCACGAGCAAGGAAGTAGCGGAGAGCAATGTGCT